TGCACCTCCTCTCTGTAGGCCGTCTCATTATTATCTGTGATTAGGCCCACCTCTGTTGTGTCATCAGCAAATTTAACAATGACGTTGGAGATGTGTTTGGCTGTACAGTCATGTGTGTTCATGGAGTAGAGGAGTGGACTGAGAACACAGCCCTGTCGATCACCAGTGTTAAGGATCAGTGTGGATGAGGATATGTTGTTCATTCTGACCACCTGGCGTCTGCTTGACAGGAAGTCCAGAATTCAGTTGCACAGAGAGCTGTGTAGACCCAGAGCTTGGTGCTTCACCACTAGTTTGGCAGGCACTGTAGTGTTGAATACTGAGCTGTAGTCCACAAACAGCATTCTCACATATGTGTTTTTGTTTTCCAGGTGAGACAGAGCAGTGTGCAAAGTGAAAGCAATTGCATCATCAGTGGAGCGATTATTCCTGTAAGCAAATTGCAGAGGGTCAGTGTGAGCGGGCGGTACAGAGCAGATGAGCTTTTTAATCAGCTTGTCAAAGCACTTGCTGAATATGGGTGTCAAAGCAACTGGACGCCAGTCATTTAAGCATGAAGTTTTAGATTATTTCGTTATGGGCACAATAGTAGCTGTCTTAAAGCATGTGCGAACCACAGACCGAGAGAGCAAGAGGTTAACGATGTCCGTGAAAACCCCCGCTAGCTGGTGTGCGCATGCTTTAAGTACACGTCCAGGGATGCCATCTGGGCCGTAGCTTTCCGAATGCTCTTGTGACGCAAATATCTCGTTACGTCCGCTACAGAAACAGAGTGTGCTGGCGGTTTCGATATCGGCCGCAGGAGCGCACAGTGTGTGGGTGCTGTCCTGGGCTTTAAAGCAGGTGTACAACAAGTTGAGCTCGTCCAGGAGAGACGCAGAAATGTTGACAGTGGCGGGTTTGTTACTTTTAAAGTCTGTGATGTAATTAAGTCCCTGCCACATACTCCTCCCTTCTACCTTGTACCTCTGTATTGATGTTTTGCTGTTTTGATAGTTTACCTGGGGCCTGTTTCAGAAAGCAGGTTAAGTTAAAACTCAGAGTAGTTTAACCCTGAAATGAGAGAAACTCTGGGTTTTCTGTTTCAAAATGGCAGGTTTGTTAAACTCGAGAAAGCAGGGTAAGTCAAGCCTGTTTCTGAAAGAAAGGTAACTTTAACTCAGAGTCAGTTACCGTGGTAACTTACTCTGTGAATCTAACCTGGTCCGGAGCAGGTTTTATTCTCTAAACTCTGAGTTTCTGTCGGTCTCCTCCCCTTTTTTAAAGATGAAGCGGTATTTCTCGCATTAGCCTTACATTTCCACACACCTATTTTAGAGCTCATTTTGGAGATGTGCATAAAAAAGATTGATGGAAATGTCATGATTCACATAACTTTTGAAAATACGCATAATATAACATGTGCATAACTGAGTAGGTTAAACTTTTATTCGATAAGATGCACATAAACTACGAAGTGCACTTAACAAATTACAGTATGTACATTAAAAAAATGGTTTGTTAGAGATGATGATGAAAATGTGTGAAAGGACAAACCAGCAGACTGAGCACACTGCAGAACATCTTAAATGGTGTTTAAGTCATTCTAAAATGCCTTTACTGTTTCAGTATTAGTGTATATTATTAATTACCTCCGAGCGTCTGGAGCGTGTCAAGATCTCCGCGTCTGGCTTCAAACGGCCCCACGTGTTCATTGTGTGTCAATTGTCTTCTCAGGCTCAGATACATTAATTAAATAAAAATTCATTGATGCAGCTTCTTCTGCCACAGTAAATTCTGTTTTTACTGTTGATATTTGGCGCAGTTAATCAGGAAGTGGCGATTGTGTTCTCTTCGGCTCTTTGGATAAAAACGCTGCTTTATTTTTAGCCGTTATTCCAGTTTTGCACAAATTTATGTAATAGCCTATATTTTGATGGAAACATAGCTATTGCCTACATTTTTGTCACACACAGAACAAAGTCACATAGGCTTGTCCTTTTTTTCATAAATAATTAGCTTAACCTTCGACATGCACTGTTACTAGATTAATGGGATTATTATTCTGTCTAAAAATAATTTTATTACTGCTTACCTTCTAAATGTTATATCAACCTCTATAACTTGATCAATAAAAAGGCAGACACATAACAAGTGCACTGTTAAATCTAATAAAACTGATAAAAGTTTAAAAAGTATAAACGTCACACATTACATTACTTATTTTATTATACTTAAAATGTTTAAATACTTAAAAATACAAAAATTATAAATTAGGCATTAACTTGAGCAGCTGTTTTCCCACGCTGTCTCTGTTTCACTGATGGTTGCTTCATTTTAAATATATACACTCATATTTGCTATAACTTTGCATGAGCACATTAAGTTCAGCTGGAGAAAGAATTGCTGATCTCTTTTTTTAAGATGTTGCCATAGTCACTCGTAATGTCTGCGCTCCATTAATAATGCCTTTTTATAGTCACGGTGCGCGCGCTTAACTCTGAGTTGGTCTACCCAAAGTTGATTGACCCAACTCAGATCAGCTGTTCTGAAACCGAAAACTCTGAGTTTTTAATCTCTTGGTAAATCAACTCAGAGTTCAAGTTTAAACTCCGAGTTGTTTGAACCTCCTTACTGAAACAGGCCCCTGATGTTGTAGTTTGCTTGTTTTTGTTCCTCAGCATTTCTGGATTTATAGGCGGAGGTTCACACTGATAGGGCTGTTCGAACATCGCCATTAATCCATGGTTTTGGGTTGGGGTAGATACGGACAGTTTTTGTTGGGACCATGTCTTCTATACACTTTCTGATGAAGCATGTAACGGTGTCTTGAGTAAACTTTAGGTCGTACTCACACTAGGTACAGTTGCCTCAAACTGGGCCAAACCACGCTTGTCCCCCCTCCCGTCTCCCCCGACGGCCCGCACTCACACCACAAATGGGCCTCGGCACGCTTACGTCATCACTGCTGCGCTGTTCAGTGAAAAGCGCTCTCACTCACTCAGCAGCACAGTGGAGATTTCTCTAATTATATCGTTTCAGTCGTTTGATATGCAGTGACATGCAGTCAAATATTTCACCAAACAGTCTTTAGGGATGCGGTGACACGCAGTCAGATATTTCGCCAAACAGATCAGCCCTCGTGCTGCAGGAATGAGGAGGTTTGCTGAAGGCACGCAACTGTCGTGCAGTGAGATGTCTGCGTCTTTAATAAATTACGGCAGTTTGCGTTCACTGAACAGTAAGAATGATTAATAAATCCATATGAAACAATCCCTTAAAGTCACGTCTCTCTTTCAGTTTCGGGCTTTGGCACGTTTTGCACTCACACTACAAACGTACCGGCCAAGTGAACCGCGCTCAGGCCCTTCTCTTCCAACCGGGCTAGGGCCAGCCAAGTGAACCGTGCTTGAGCCCGATTCAACTAAGGGTCTTCTCAACGATCCGGGAAACTCACACTTCTCAAACGATCCGGGAAACGGGCCTGGGCACGGTACGGATGGCATAGTGTGAGTAGGCCCTTAATGTCGTCATCAGAAGCTGCCCGGAACATCTCCCAGTCCACATGATCAAAACATTCTTGAAGTATAGAATCCGATTGGTCCGTCCAGCATTGAAACGTCTTGAGGGTGGGTGATTCCCGTTTCAGTTTCTGCCTGTAAGCAGGCAAGAGCAGAACAGAAGAGTCATCTGATTTGCCAAACGGTGGGCGGGGGAGGGATTTGTTGGCGTCCCGGAACAGAGAATAGCAGTGGTCCAAAATACTGTCACCACGCATGTTTGTGGTGATATGGTGATAGTGATTTTCCAGAGATTGGCATTGTTAAAGTCCCCTGTAACAATAAACGATGACTCTGGGTGTGTGGTTTCCTGCTCGCTTATGCTCCCATTCAGTTTCCCAAGCGCCTGCTCTGTGTTGGCTTGAGGGTGGATGTAGACAGCTGTAATTATAACTGCTGTGAACTCTCTTGGTGGCCAGTGTGGTTGGCACCAAAGCATAAGGTATTCCAGATCAGGAGAACAAAATAATCTGGATGTATGTTTCTCAACCATGAGTTGTTAATAAATAAAAAAACACCTCCTTCTTTGCTTTCCCCTGTCGGTTCTTTCATTCTATCCACAGTATTTTATCCATAGTATTCCCTGTCTGCTAAACAAATTTTAGAGAAACATTTTGTTGTAATTATGAATATATACAAATAAAAATAGGCCATTGTTACGTCCCCCTCGTTCGAGTTGCAACATAAAAGTTATATATGCAACTTATTTATTATATACAACTAATAAAGCAACAAATCAAGAAACAAACAAATGTCTAGGGGAAAATAAAGAAAATAACTAACTTTAACTACACATATAAATAATGCCAAACAAAACCATAAGGTTGCCAAAATAAAGAGATGGTCTTGATGCGAGGATGGCCAGTAGCCACACTTTCCTACAGAAGCTAGCTCACTCTCACATTTATATGCTTTGAACCAATTGGGGAGCAACCATGGCACCTAATCAGGATCTGCCACATCCAAACTAGAATACTGGGGTCGTCACACCATTTACACCTTTCGAATCTGTGTCTTATCAATGTGACCAAAATTTCTTTTATGATGTATTATGTAAGAAACTCTAAAAACTGGACTGACACCGTTTCAATTTATTATAAGTTCTATGTTAAGCGGCTTTGACAGTTTACATTGTAAAAGCACTAGATAAATAAAGATGAATTGAATAGAATCTGCTTGAAACGTGTACACGTTAATGGACCAAACACAATATGATCTGATTTATTTTACATTTAATGTGCATCAGAAATACAATGCGTGTAGCCAATGTTACCAGTGTCTTTTCACTTTTCAGATTTTGATGGGATCTTTTAAGACTTAATGAAAACTTTTTTTTTTCAGACCTAATTGAAGAGAGTGAGGGGAGTAAAGAGGAGGAACACCATGTTAAAATTGAGGACAAAACTCATTTACAGACTGATGGCATTTTGAAAAGGAGAGACAAGAATCGTTTCACCTGTACTCAGTGTGGGAAGAGTTTTGGAGGAAATAGCAATCTTAAGATTCACATGATAATCCACACCGGAAAGAAACCATTCACATGCACTCAGTGTGGGAAGAGTTTCAGCCAATCATCACACCTTAATGACCACATGATGATCCACACTGGAGAGAAACCATTCACATGCACTCAGTGTGGGAAGAGTTTCATCCGGTTATCATTGCTTAATCAACACATGATGATTCACACTGGAGAGAAACCATTCACATGCACTCAGTGTGGGAAGAGTTTCAGGCAATCATCATACCTTAATGAACACATGAAGATCCACACCGGAGAGAAACCATTCACATGCACTCAGTGTTGGAAGAGTTTCAGCCGCTCATCAGAACTTAATCAACACATGAGGATCCACACTGAAGAGAAACCATTCACATGCACTCAGTGTGGGAAGAGTTTCAGCTGCTCATCATCCCTTAATAAACACATGAGGATCCACACTGGAGAGAAACCATTCACATGCACTCAGTGTGAAAAGAGTTTCGGCCGCTCGTCATACCTTAATCAACACATGAGGATCCACACTGGAGAGAAACCATTCACATGCACTCAGTGTGGGAAGATTTTCGGCCGCTCATCATACCTTAATCAACACATGAGGATCCACACTGGAGAGAAACTATTTACATGCACTCAGTGTGGGAAGAGTTTCGGCCGCTCATCACACCTTAATCAACACATGAGGATCCACACTGGAGAGAAACCATTCACATGCACTCAGTGTGGGAAGAGTTTCAGACAACCATCACTCCTTTATCTACACATGGTAAGCCACAACGGAGAGAAACCCACAGCTTCGGTGTGGGATGAGTTTCAGCAACTCCTCAGACCTTAATAAACACATGATGACCCACACTGTAGATAAACCATTCACATGCACTCTGTGTGGGAAGAGTATCAACCAATCAGTCAACCCTAATGAACACATTAAGATCCACACTGGTGTGGAAGAGTATTTGTGCTTTGAGTGTGAGAAGACTTTTATTACAGCTCTAAAATTAAAACTGCACCAGACGTTTCACACTGGACAGTAGTGATGGGAAGTTCATATCATTTTACTTATTCAGATATTTGAGTCTCGTTCATCAAGATGACAGAATCTTTTTTCGGAGTCACGTGACGGTAATGGCGGAGTAGCAGCTCAACATTTGATCTCCGCAGCTCAGTGGTATATTTTTAGTATATAAAATAAGATATATAACGGCATATACTTTAAGACCTTGTGAATGGACATACGATCATGCCCACTACCCAGAAGAAGTTGAATCTGTCGGCAAAAACCTCAGAAGATGCAATGTGCGGGTTGTCGGTCTTCCAGAGGGATGCGAGGGCAGTAATCCGATCTCTTTTTTCAAATCCTGGTTACCAGAGCTGCTACAGGTCAGTTTCAAAGGTGAGCATGTTAAACTGGACCGATGCCACCGCGCCCTCACTCACCGCCCACCGCCTGGCCAGCGACCCCGAGCAGTTATCCTAAAGTTTTACAACTTTCAGTATAAATTTCGGATCATGCAAGCGGCGAGACAAACGTGCACGCTGTCCTACAACGGTGCTTCAATTATGATATTTGAGGACTTTTCTGTGTTGGTAATGAGGAAAAGGCAGGAATTCTACCATGTTAAACAGCAGCTTAAAGAGAAGGGTATTGCCTTTGCCATGTTGTATCCAGCAGTTCTCAGGGTCAAGGTGAACGGTCAGGAGAGGTCTTTCAAGGACCCAAAGGATGTCATAGCATTTCTGGCGTCTGCCCCACTACAGAGCGGCTCACCTGACCGCACTGCTACTGACTGAGCATCCTTTCCCCATCCCAGTATGGTTTTAGAGGGTTTAGCTGTTGAGATCGGACATTTGGTTTGAGGTCTACATTTTATTATAACAATTTATTATCGAAAATTTAGTATGGTTTCTTTAATACTGACAGATCCATATGTGATTACTTTTTCATTGCCATTTATGTCGCAATATTTGACTGAGCTGCAGTCCGGAAGTTTTTCTGTTACCTAAAGGTAGCTTATCGAAGCCTTGGAAAGGTTTTTTTTTTTTTGCTTGTTTTTTGTGTGCTGGTCCTGCACCTTCTCTATAGCTAGAGGGAAGCTAGCTGACGCCCAAAATGGGCGTAACAGACCAAAGTCTGACTCCTTTTCGTTTCGTTAATAGCTCTTTTTTGTTCCACTCTTTTGATGTACATAGTTTTTACTTGATTCTTCTAAAATTGTGCAAAGAACGATTTTACCCCTGCGTTTTTTTTTCTTGTTTTTTTCTTCTTTTTTTCCTGCGTTTTCTCTCATTTTGTGGCTCCTTTTGTATTTTATTTTTTGACACATAATGTCTAGTAACTCAATGTTAAAAATTTGTAGTTGGAATGTGAGAGGGATACACAATCCTATTAAGAGAAAGAAAATTCTTAGCTTTCTAAAGAAAGAACAGGTCCATATAGCCCTATTACAAGAAACCCATTTATCGTCTGCTGAGCACGCTAAGTTAAAACGTGACTGGGTCGGACAGGTGCTTAGCTCTTCTTTTACTACCAAAAGCAGAGGTGTTGCCATCCTAATTAATAAATGTTTACCCTTACTTGAAGTTAAAACGGTCTCAAACAAATCGGGAAGATATATTATGTTAAGAGGCTCTCTTTATGGGCAAGACATTTCAGTTTTAAATATATATTTTCCACCTATTCAGACCACAGATTTTATTTCTAAGTGTGACCGTGTATAGGATGAGTGGTAGTGATTGATGTTGATAACAACCAATCAGGGGCCAGTGCTGCCTATTTTAGAGCCGGTTGGCTGTGTTAGGTGATGTGTCACCTCCAGCCCCGCCTTTCTTGTTCCGCGTTTGTTGACATCTGTTTCAGGTATGTTAGCGGTTGTGTGTGTGTGTCTCTCTCTCTCTCTCTCTCTCTCTCTCTCTCTCTCTCTCTCTCTCTCTCTCTCTCTCTCTCTCTTTTTCGATTAACGTTTGGATTAATCATCGTGGTTTCATTTTTAGCCTGGTTTTTCGTTGGTTTTCCTGTTGGTTGCCATGGAGTTAATGACTGCCACCCATTCAGCTCGCTTGTAGCATAAATGGAGATGACTAATTCATAATACATGAGTGTACTACTCCCGGCTTGGTAAGTTTCTTATGTAGAGATTAAAGGGGAATGCTAGCGTGTGATTTTGCAAACAGTAACCGTTTTTGCATGTGCATATCTCTTGTAGGATTCTCCCTCTCTGTCCTGGGCGATTATAAATAAAGATCTAGCATCTGTAACATTACTCCGGTTGTGTTTGAAAGATTCTGCTATCCTGAGATCTCTAGTGGAAAGAACTACTACTGCTGTTTACTACTGCTGCCTGCTTCTACTATCTGCTGCTGCTACATTTACTGCTGCAGTTACTACTAGCTGCTACTGCTACCCGCTACTACTATCTGCTGCTGCTACATTCACTGCTGCAGTTACTACTAGCTGCTACTGCTACCCGCTACTACTATCTGCCTGCTGCTACTCTACTGTTGCAGTTACTGCTAACTGCTACGACTAACTGTTACCTGCTCTATTTACTGCTGTTGTTACTACGACCTGCTACTACTATCTCCTATTGCTACTGTTATATAATTTGTGATTTTTGTTCTGTTTGGTTGTGTGATTCGGTGTGCAAAAGAGTGAGTTTGGTGTTCTGTGTGAATCTTGCTTTTCTATAGCGAAACTACAGAAGCTGTATTTGGTTTTTCTTTTCTTGTGTGTGGTTTGTTGTTTGTTTTACTCCTGTATAATTTATCCCGTATATTGATTTTGATTTTCCTTGCAGGAACTGAGGTCCCATGGGTGCAGGATCTTGAGGTGGTGGTGGTGTCACTGCACTTGACATTTTTGCTGTGGACGGTTTGGGAAGTGTGGAGTGTGTGGATCTAGTGTGGTGTGTGTGTGTGTGTGTGTGTGGAAGTGTGCTTTTTGAACACAACGGAGCACTGGTGATTTCCCCCCCCCCATGTGTGACCTCAGCCCTGTAAGTTAGTTTATTCAATTTATTTCCCCGGTTAATTTCATTTTCATATTTACTTTGTAATAACGTTGTTGTTGTTGTTTTCTATAAATTTGTTTTCTTTTTTTGTTTTATTTTACTGCAGTTGTGTTGGAGGGGGGGTGCTGGCAAAATGTTCAGAGAATGTAATGTGACCATTTTAATCTGCCACAAATTCTGAAAATAAATTTTGTACTTTTATACTATACCCACGTCTCTTGCCTATCCATATGAGAACTGAACCTGTGTGGCCTAAGCGTAAGGTTTAAGCCAATTTCTATTTCCTGGGAGAAAAACCTCTCAGGTGGCGTAGTCGGATTTGCTTTGTGGATAAATTGTTAATCCCTACTCTTCCCTCCTGCCACATTCTGGCGTAGTCGGCAGGATCCTCGTATGGTATAGTGCATAGACGTGAGTATTGGTAGTGTGGGGCTTGTTTTTTTTTTTTTTTTTTTTTTTTTTCCTGCAGGAGCAGATAGCGGCAGCGGCATATTGGTGTTTCAGTGTGGAGAGTAGATTTCAAGCCCATAGTGGTGAGTGATTTTGTAGTTTTGTAACTATGGATGAAGAATTACGTGAGTTGCGAGAATTGGTAGCCCAATTAAGGGCAGACAATGAAAAATTGCGACACGAACAAGTGCCCGTTGAACAACCTGGTCCCTCTAATATTTCCATTCCGGCGGTGGTTGATCCTCTTCCTGCCGTTCCTAGTTCCTCAGCAGCGGAACGATTTGTTTTTGTGCCACGGGATCGAAATTGCCCAAAATTTAATGGTAGATCTGGCATTATGATCGAAGAGTGGGTGGAGGAGGCTCAAACTTGCATGAGACTCCGCCATCTCTCTACTTCTGATCAGGCATTTTTTCTGTTTGATCATTTGGAGGGAGAGGCGAGGGATGAAATTCGATATCGGCCAAGGGATGAGAGGGAGGATCCAAACAAAATTTTTCAGGCTTTGCGAGAATTATATGGTTGTACTAGTTCATATGTAGCTCTTCAAGAGTCCTTTTTTTCCAGGAAACAACAGGATGGGGAGACCCTGTTAGAGTTTTCCCTAGTCCTGTTAAATCTCCTGGAAAAAGTAAAGCGCCAGTCGCCTCATGGGATGCCAAATGCAGATATTTTGTTGCGCGACCAATTTGTTGAACACGTTCGTGATGGTGCTCTTCGACGTGAACTCAAACAGTTTGTCCGTCGCCAGCCAACCGCTAGGTTATTGGACGTTCGTAGTGAAGCAATGCGCTGGGAACGGGAGGGTATGCCTGGGGGAACACGTGGTCGTAGCCAATCTGTACCATCTGCTTATGGCATCCAATATGGGGTACAGGGATATCAGCCTCCGGGAGGTAGTAATTTAGCAAGTTCTGAATTGCGCGAATTGAGAGAAATGCTGAAAAAACAACAACAGCAATTGAATCAGTTGACTCAAAATGTGGCTCAAATTCAAAACCTCCAACCACGTCTTCAGTTATCCCGGTCTAATCAGGTTATTTGTCGTCGGTGTCAGCAGCCTGGTCATTTTGCCCGGGAATGTGATGGGGAACGGAGACCTCCTCGTTTCGCGCCAGCACGTGCTGATTCCGCTTCAACAAGGGGTGTGCAGTCTGGGCAACCGTCGGAAAACTAATACCCGCTGAGCTGCAGGGCCACAGCTTGGTCGGGAGAAGAACAGGCTCAAATGTTTCAGCTGAGGTAGATTTTATGTCTCGCTTTATGGCATCGTGTCCTCAACTTATTGTATATATGAGCGGGGTCAAGG